ACAACAAAGCGGTTCCCATGTGGTTGTGTTTGCACTGCCATTTGCTTTACAACTTCCCATGGCTTTGTGAGCATGAGTTCAGCGGTATTGCAAATGCTCGTGTAGACAGCTGGTGGCACTTTTACCTCCACCTTCTCTGACCTAGCAGAGCAGATCTTTGCCAGTGACACTGGTGTCATCATCACCTGGAGAAAGGTGCAGAGGGTGGAAGATGGAAGGAAAATACCCTAGCTAAACCAATCAGGACTCATAGTAGAGATGATATCTTTTATTAGACCAACAAGATTTTTGCAAAAAAATTCAGTTGCAAGCTTTCAGGCACAAACACCCTAGCTAAACCAGGCCGTGAGTGGATGGAATAAGACGGGCATTGCTTTTTCTTACCTTTGTCACTAGATGGCAGTAATGGCTGAAGGAACTCCTGCACATTTCAGAAGCAGAAGCCATTTTCTTGTGGGTGGAGTGGGGTCGGGGAAGAAATATCCTTTGAGCAGTATTTTTGAGATCTGGCCCTGAATTGCTAAGGGGTCCAGGACCACACTGGGCAGTGAGATCCCCTCAAAGCTATGAGGAAGGGAAGCCTCCCTTTCCCTCCAGGGTAGAATTAGCTGCACATCCTCTTAGCACAACCAGAAGGACACTAATGAGTTCATCCTGTTGATGCACAAAGACCTGCACTTTCCACTTCCCCATGGGCCATGCACCTAAAGCCTGTAGAGCCCTTGGGATCTCTCAGTTACTTGGTCACTGAGTCTAGCCTTTCTGCCTCTCCCACATAGCCTAAACCTGAATTAGCCTAGCATTGGCCAGGCCCATGCATGGCAGGGAGCAGCTCTGGCCCAGGCCAGCTGGTGGGGGTGAGAGCAGGCCCAGAGCGTGAGAGAGAAACCACATCCTGTGTCAGTTGCTGAGCGGTGGGGGAGGTGATGCTGGCACATGTGAACAGGTACAAAGGAAAAGAACCAGCAGCACAAGGTTCAGTGCATGTCTGGGTTATATGTCCTTAGACCAACATGGCTACAACACACACCCCTGTCTGGGTTACAGGACACTTCTGGGGGATTTGCTAGCACAGAGGCTCCATCACACCTCTGAGTTTTCAGCGTGAACAGCAGTGTACCTTTGCCTTTAATAAAGGGAACACAGGGACGAGGATATGTGCATGTACGCAGGGCATGCTTGTCAGCCTCGTAAGGAATCAGCTCTGCAGCACTGAATGCTCACCGCTATTCAGTTTCCACAGGGAAGTTGGTTGCTTGGTAGGTTCTCTGTGTTTGAGGGGGGAGGTGAACATCACACAGCATAAAAATACATAAGGGAGAAAGCAGTTCTAGCTGCCTGGAGGCAATCTCTGTGCCAGCAAATTGATTTAGCAACCAGCGCACCTATAACAGAGGCTTCCTGAAGGTGTGAGGGGCAAGGATTTTGGGGGTGATCTCTTTTACTGGACTAGCTATAGAGCTGGGATAAAGTTAGACTAACTTTTGAATGCAAAGCTTTCTTCTTTAGGTCTCCTTAACTGTGCCATGCGTAACGGAGACATCCTTTACTGAACTGAGACAACCTTTACTGTATCCACTCAGGGCAAAACCCCCAGCTCTGGATGAGGAATCCTTGCATAGTAGATTGCCCAAAGCCATCTTTCTATTCTCCTGAACCTGGCAAGAACTGTTGAAGCTCCTTCTGTAATTTAGGGCAGTTTACAGAGCGCTCGAAATGAGACCAGCAAGAATTGCTGTCTACCCGTGACTGTACAGTATTCCCATCCCACCATGACTCCTCTGCAGCCCTCAACATAGGGGCAGACAATTATTTCAGGTGGAGGGCCGCTTACTGAGTTTTGGCAAGCCATCGAGGGCTGCATGACAGGCAACCCAGGGCAGATAAATATTAATTTTCTAAATTTTTTAGGGGCCTCATGGGCCGGACAGGGGCGGGAAAGATGGCTTGGCGGGCCCGCATCCAGCCTGTGGGCCACATTTTGCCCACCCCTGCCTCAACAGGACATGGCAGATGTGGCACAACTGGCACAGCTGAGGTTTTTACTATCTGGAAATCTATAATTATTCCAAAGGGGCATGGCTTTGACCTATTTGGTCATACAGAAGATCTGGACAATGGATTGGGGTGTATAACGTTCCCAACTGCTTGAGGTAACAGTGCCATCATAAACCAAAGACAAAACATCCTGATGTACAGACAAGAACTGTCCGGGTTTCACTGCTCAGGGAACTGCCAGTTTCCTTTCAGCTTGAATTGCTTTCCTTTCTGCAATGGTACGGATCATAATCTAATGGAAACAGCCCCATTTGCCTCATACCTTCTAGAAACATGTGCCCATTGGCTGAAGCAAAGCCGAGAAAATTGCAACCCGAGAGGAAACTGGGGGTGAAAGGTGTAAGCCATTGGGGAAAAATAGGGCTTAGAATGGAAACAAGAATTCAATCTTACCTCTAGGGATTGGTGCTATCCATGTTACATCAAACACATTTACACTTTGCTCCAATCACAGCAGCCCCTGTGGTGGAAATACAGGAGCTGGTGTCTATCCGAAACCGTAGGAAGCAGAACTGTATATGCTTCCCTCAGGAACTACCTCTTCCTTGCTCTGTGATTTGCTCTCAATGAAAGGCCTTTAAGGAAACCATTCAGTTGTGTGAATGGATATGGTGGGTGGGGGGTAGGGTGGATGCTTTTAAGTCCACCTCCCCTTCCCCTTCTTTTGTTGGTTGGACTGCAGCTAGTGAGTGTGCTGCCAGTCAACATAGGAAGCACACACTGGGAGAGGTAAATGGATGATGAACCATCCCTGCTCCTCTCATCCAAGTGTTAGAATCTCATCTTTGAGCCCTGTAGTGTTGCTGGTGGAAGAGGCATTTCCACATCCTAGACTGATGACTGGTGCTCAGGTGGGGAACCAGACTGAGCTGAGGGGAACAACCTACATGAGGACAAATCAATCCTGCACAACAGACTATTGACCAGGCGGAAGTGACATTGACATCCAAAATGTGTTGACCCTTTCTGCTCCCTGTACAGCCTGAACCTGCTGCATACAGCATAAGCATAGACCCTGATAGCTAGATGACCAAGAAGGATGGTGCTCCCTTTCTGCTACAAGGGAGAAAGCAAAAAGGTGATCATGGCCAGTTTCTTTTACATGAATGATGATGTTGCTTATCCATAATGCCCCCTGACAAGTGGTATTGTTTTAGTTGGAATTTATGTTTTTCACATGTAAAAATGAGAATAAATGATCATCAGTACTTCTCTCACAAAAGTCCACAGGAATTGTGTGGGACAGAGGTCGGTGAGAAACTCTCTTTCTGTCCTGCAGAACTTTTTGAGATTTTCCCACTTTACATTGGTGCAAAATTGCAGGGCAGCTCTGTGCCCAAGGCAGTGGCAGCACACAGGGCAGCGCCAGCTGCTGTGCTGCCAACAGCAGTAGTGTGGTCAGCTGCCAACTGTGGTGGTGGATCCAGGGCGGGGGGCAGTGGTACAGCTGTACCCTGCTTTGATTTCTGCTCTACCCAAACTTTAAAACCAACTGCCTTGGAGGAGTAATGGTATTTCTATTCAGGCAGCACTAAGGGAGTCAATAGACTTCATGGATCATCATCATCTCCCTGATTCCTGCCAATCTCTTTCCACTCCACAGGTGTTAATGACCCCCTCTCCTTTTTATTGGTCTTGATGTTCCGCTATTCAAGCAATCCTTTCTTCTGCAATGTTGCTGTCTATTAGCCATGGACAGATCTAGAGATTTTGAAATGGGGGAGGGGTGCAGATGGTGTGGTGCATTATCACATATAACACAACACATATTTTTCTCCAGTTAAAGAGAAACTGGATACTTTACTAATAAGCTAAGAAGACTAGCACTTTATTGTTCAGTTTAAAATCATAGCAAAAACAAATATAACTATTGGAATATGAACTCATTTCCTAGAAATAACCAGGAATAGCTAACAGACAGCAGAACTGCAGAGGATTGTTTGAATAATGGAATATCAAAACCATTAAAATAGCAGTGTCTATTTTTGTGGCCCCTCGGTCCCTCCCCAGAGGCAGTCCCCAGGGCTGCTACTCTGGTCTCTTCCACCTTCAGTTTTGCAACAGCAAGACTGGGACCTTCAAGTTTGTTTTTTTGGTGGAAAAAAGCAAAGTGGAAGACTTACTTCAAAAGAACTGGGGTGCTCACCAGGGATGTAGGAGACCTAGGGTCAAATCCATCCTCAGCCAGAATTTCGAACTAGGGTCTCATGAACATCTGATCCACCAAGCTACTGGCTATTTAGGAGGATTTGACCAGACAGTCTACCCTGTGGGGATGTCTGCTCCATGTCCACAGAGACCTGCTCCTGAACCAGCCCTGCCACAAGCTCCTGTTTACACAGGTCAAACTTGGAAATGTAGCTGGGAAGTTGATCCAGGGGATCAGACCAAGGACTCAAGAGGGATCGTAGAAGGGGTACTACAGGGAGGCTTCACTGCTACATTTATGGGTTTAGTGTGTACCCAGGATTGTCCTTCCCTGGGCACGATACAGACATTGCCTCAGAAGTCCTTTCCCAGGGTTGTTTCCATGAAACTGTTATTTTCTCATAGAAAGTGTTAGTTTCAGCAAATTGGCACTTTCTAAGGGAAAAACATTTCTGCAAAAATGCCCCACTGCCTCTAGCGCAACATGGACTCTGAGGACGGGGGCAGGGAGGTCATGGGTAATAGGTCTCAGTTGGGTAATGAAGCAGGGACCCAAGCGGGTAGGAGTCTGGTCCTGTCAGTGAGCTGCAGACTGCAGAGAAGAGGGAGTCTTCCCAGGGCTCCCATTTTATACTAGGTTCTCCACCTCAAGATCCAGGGACCATTTTCACCACTCCTGTGCTGTGCTCAGGAGCACCACCACAAAGCTTGCGCTGTCCAAAGACACCATCTCAGACCTTCAATGAACAGATTTTTCCCCCAACCCCTTTGATATTAAAGCTTTTAATCTCACAACATGCTTAGCTTGGTACAAAGTGCAGCTGCCCGAGCCGCTGAGAGTGGGAATACATTCCAACCCAACACCTCTCTGCTTCTGCCAGGGCATATGTACTCTCAGGTCCTGGAAGATACATTCATTATTGCCACCCACTCCAATCTGGCCCCTCGAGGTCATGCGCTAGATGCCGAGGTTCTGGTTCAGGACCCCACCACCAGAGTGCAGGCATCTGACGACTAAATAAATACCCCTGAGCCAGGTCTAGGAGCAGAATCTCAGGCACAGCTAGAGGGGTCAGGAGGAATGAGTGTGGGGTAGGGGCTGGGAGCTTGGTGGGTGGCTGCAAGGATTTGCTGTGTGGCCTTTGACAAGTGACTTTATCTACCTGTGCCTGGGTTTCCTCCTGTATAATTCCCACCTACCAGGTAGGGTCACCATGAGGATTGGCAGGCACCCACAGGGCATGTGGTATGAATCAAAGAATCACAGGGCTGGAAGGGACCTTAAAGTCTGAGCCCTGCCCAGAGGCAGGACTCTGTTCCTAGAGCACTCCAGAATGCACAGGGACAGGCAGGCTTGGCAGTGAGGAAAGATTAGCCCGGTGGGTCACAGTCGTTACTGTGGATGTTCACAGAGCAGGGCTCTCCCATCACATTTCTTTTTAGCATGAAAAAGGGGGATTTTGACCAGCGTTCCCAACCTCAGAGCATCTGGTTGGGTTGAAATGTTCTGGGTTGAAAAAGACCTAGGTTCCAATTCCCCTCCCCAAAGAAAAATGTTGATGAAAGTGATTTCTCCATCCCCACCCATTTTCACCTTTTCTTTGTATGGGAAAGAAGCCATGTCCCCGGCACGCCGGTGCTAAAAGCCTGATCCGTCTGAGAGGATGCTGCCTCTGCTGGGGCCTGGACTCAACACTCTTTTTCCAGGGAAAGGCCTTTGTGTGGAGAGCTTTGGTGCTGGGTTCAGTAATGGCAGTAGCAGTACATTGCCTGCCATTGCCAACAGGCCTCAACCCAGCTCTCACTTGTTACTCAACCACTCCTCTGGGGGGAAGGGAGTATTGCAAGATCCAAATGTCCATGGAGCAGTGGAACAAACACGGGTGGGATTCAGAAGACTGGTGTATAGTCTTAGCTCTGCCAGTTGCTTCCTGGGAGAACTCAAGCAAGTCGCTTCACATAAATGCCGTTGCGAAGTCAGGGTGCGATGGAAGTGGTAGGTGCCATTAGCTCTGCATCTCTGTGCAGGGTTGGACTTGAGGTTCCCTGCCAGACCAATGAATCCATGACCTCAGAGCCCCTCAGTCAATGGGGGCTCATGTGTCACCAGGAGGTGAGCTGTCAGCCTGCTCTCCATGACTGAATGAAGAGGTGCGGGGGGGTGGGGTTTGTAAAGTGACTCAGCCACGCTGACCTCAGGTTCCTGCAAAGTCAGGGAGGAAATTCAGATGTCAAGAGTGAGAGGCCTTGTCACTGTGACAAAACTGTCCCTCGACACTCCACCAGTAAAACACCTATCATCAGGGCCCAGTGCAGCAGCACAATTGTCCCACCTCCTCCCTACACTTCTGCCCATGGAGGAGAACTTATCCCCTGGATTTCAACCAAGGCCCCCCAGCCCTTGGCTACACGTTGAGCACTGGGCTATTGCAGCCAGGTCCAGGCTTATTGTCCCACTCCACTTAAAAGAGGAAGGAAGCCTTCTAGTTATGTCCTGAGGGCTCCAGGTAGGCCTCTGCTGTGTCTATTACCAGGGTTTCCAAGTGCCTCTCCTAGCTGTGAATACAGCCCACAAAGCCCAGCCTGCCCCCAAAAAGCTGGGGAGAGCCCCCCACAGAGGAGTCATTTACAGACACAAGTTCCTGAATGGCTGGTGCTGGTTCAACACCAGCAGAAAGCCCCGGGCAGGGACTTGAGGAAAGCAAGGGTGGGAGAGAGCTAAGCTGCTTTCTCCAGATAGTTCAGTCAGAAACACCAATCAGTGGGGGTGTGAAGCCCCTTTTGGATCTCGAGGGGGTTGGAGTGGGACCAGCTGATCCATTCTTGCATGTGCCAGGCCATTCTGCATTGGTTCTTGGGTCTGTTGGCACTTTCATGGCTGGTTCTGGGATTTGGTGGCTGAAGCTGGGAACTTTTGGAGATGACCCATTTGGAGATGGCTCTGGGACGTGTTGGCTCACTCAGGACTGGTTCTGGGATCTGGGATCTTCTTTCAATCCTCCAAGAGTCTCCTGGCCTACTTTTTTTGAGACCATCTCACGGATGAGTGGATCCATGAAAAGATGGCCTTTGCTGAGTTCAGGGAAGACAGTAGGCATGACAGAAAGGTTGAGAAAGAGGCCCCAGATCTGCAGTGCCCCCTCACCCCCCACCTTAGTACGCGGTGGTCTGGATGTCATCGTAATCACTGTCAGTTGAGGAAGAGTCACCCCCAGGTATATGGTTGCCTGACGGTGTGGAGTGGGCTGTCCATGCTGAAACAAACAAATCCGGTCAGTGGGGACTGGAGCTTGGCCTGCAGAGGTGGGCCTGACAAGGCACCCAGCCCCCTCTCTGGCTTCCCACCCACTCCTTGCCCTTTATAGTCCCCCTCACTTCATGGAGATAATGCTGCCCTGCCTCATCCTCATTTGCAGTGGACTGCTAGACCCAACTATAGTGTTTTGACAGCTCTGGGATACTTTTGGGTTTGTGCAGGGCTTGGCATGGCCCCTGATCTGGATAGAGAACAGTTCACTTTCTGACAACAACTCTGAGAACCTGCAGTTTCTGCAGGACAAACCCAGGCCAATGGTAGGGAAGCCATTTGTCATCCAGAGAATAGGGGAAGCGGTAAGCTTGGGACCCACAATCTTTCCTTCCATGCTCATCTGCTCATACTATGATGGCACCTTGGGCTTGAGAATGGGGCTGCGAGATAGTGGGTAATGGGTGCATGTCACATGTGCTCCTGATCCAGTCCTGTGGCAACTGTGAAATGGCTGAGTCCTCAGGACACTGAGCAGCCATGGCCTAAGGGAGCCCTAACTGCCAGGTTGATGTCCATCCCTCCTGCTTCCTCCATCCATCCCTCCATCCCTCTATCTCCATATTCATGTGTCTATCCTTCTTTCCTTCTGTTCATCTCTGTTCAGTTATGTCTCTGTTCCCTTCCCCATTCTCTTGCTTTCAGTACAAGTCCCAGCCTGAACCATGCTAACCCTTGTGAATGAGTGCCCCAGATGGCAGGAAGCTGGGCATTTGGGGTTCTGCCTCCTACTCCTACACTTGGACTTTGGCCCTGCCCTCCCTCTGCTCTGACATCTCTCCTTAGTCCCACTGCTGCAGCTGACTCCTTACCAGGGAAGGAGGGTGCATGTCCAATCTGGGCTCCCTCATGCTCCTTCCCTTGGATGTTTTCATACCATTCTCCGGATGATGTGCTGGAGCTGTCGGCATTGTCAGTTCCTGCTGGAGACAACTCACGGGTCAAAATCAGGATCTGGACTCCCCTTACTGGGAGCCCAGGAGGAAGGGCAGGAGGTTCTCTCCAAACAGCCTTCCCTGCCCTGGAGGCAGTGCTATGGCAGAGGCCTCAATGGCTGTGGGGAGACCGTCCTGCATGCCAGAAGTTCAAAGAGAAGGGGCTGAAGGGCTCCATCCATCATGTCTCTCCTAGGGGAGCAGAGTGCATGTGGACCAGTGTATGTGTGTGTGTGTGCATGGGAGGGAGGGGGTGAAGTGGGAAGAGGCCAAGGTTCAGGGGAACCATACTCCCCAACCCACTGAGGCAACACCACAGTCCCACTAACATCGGAACAACAGCCCAGGGTTGCAGGAACATGGTGGCTCCCTCTCTGGCTGGTAGCTGGGGCTGCGATCTTGAGCCTGAGGACAAGCTTCCCTGCTACCATGCTGGATGTTCTGTTGTTTTCCATCCTGGGACCATAGATCCAGCCCCAACTTCCCTGCCCTTGAGGCCAGGGACAGAGGAGAGATCCATCCTGGACCCCAGGGTGCCCCACCCCAGGCCCCTATCCCATTAGCTATTGGGGCTAGTGGGTCCCTCTCCCCTGGTTGGCCTGGCTCACCTTGGAAGGAGATCTGGGATCCACTGGTGCCTTGGGCAGGCAGGGCTAGCAGGAGGTGGCTCCCAGCAGCTGGCAGGGTTGGGGTGCTCCAGGGCAGCTGGGTGGTGTTGCCACTGTTACAGTAATTGGCCTCCGCGGATAAGCCAGATGAGATGCCTTCTGTCTGCCAGGTTGGAGCAAGCACAGCGGGGGGCTCTACAAACAGAGGGGACTCTCCATTAGCACAGATGAGGGGGTGCCAGAGCCCAGCCTGCCCACAAGGGCCACAGGGCCATCATGATATGCCCCAGTGATGGCCTCAGTGCCAACACCAGCCCTGGCACATTCACCCTATCAGCTGATGGGATCCTCCCCTTTATTCCAAGCACTGAGACAGACAGTAACCAAGGTCAGATGGATGATGGTGTGAACACCAGGGCAGCATGATGCAGACCTAACCCTAGGTGTAACCCTTTCCCAGTTACCTTTCTGCCTGTCAAGACCCAACTGGGTATCAACCCCTCCCTCCAACTGGGTCAGGATGCCCCCTCTCACCTGGTGGCCAGTCCTGTGGCTGCAGGTTCTGGTTCAGCTCCTCATAGTTGGGTGCTGCAAGGAAGCTGCTCCCAGGCTGAATCTCATCTGGGTGGCGCCTGAGGGAGTCTGCAAGCAGAGGCCAAAGTGACTCCAGCAAACCTGGCTTGACCCAGCTCAGGATTCTAGGAATCCTAGAAACAGAGGCTGGATGCCTACCTGGCTGGACTCATTTGAGTCCCGTTTTTGTTTTTAGGGTTTTTTGTTGTTCTCCCGCCCTGGCGGGGGGTCGGGCTAGAAGATCTATTAGGTCCCTTCCGACCCTAAAACTATGAAACTATGAAACTATGAATAGGGTTAGCCAAGAGAGGCCACTGCTACCTTAGCCACTGTTCAGCCACCTCCAGCTCTGGATCCAATCATCCCCTGCACTCCCTGATATGACTCTACCCTGAGCCTCATTTTATGTCCTCTGCAACTCACTGGTAATTCTAGCCTAGCTTAACCTGTATCCCAACACCAAGTTCCCCCGCCCCTCAGCATCAAAACTGCTGCCAACATCCCCACCCTGTGCTCAGTTACCGTGGTAGGAGGTGCAGTGTGAGAACCAGGGAAGCTGAGAGAGAGGGACAGGCAGACAGACAAACAGCGTTCTTAAAATCATCATCTGCTAAAATTAACCCTGAGCATCATTTCATACTTAAATTATCAAACCCTTAAATGAACCCTTTCCAGGGCACTGGCAGAACTCTGTGTGTGTGGGTAAGTGAATGTGAGTGTGAGTGACAGCGAGTGTGGGTTGCGGGCGGAAGGGTTGGGGAGCGAGAGCCCAAGGCAATTGGTCAGGACTAAAGGACATTGGTAAAGCAATGTGAGTGAGTGTGTGTGTGTATTTGTGTGCAAGGGTGAAGCCAGTGACTGTGGGTCAGGACTGAGGGCAAGAGGCAAAGCTGTGTGTGTGTGAGGGGTGACAAAGAATGCAGGTGGGCATTGTCAAAGCAGTATGTTTGGGGTACCAGGCAGTAAAAGCGGGAACCTGATGGTGGTGGGGGGCTTTACAGCTGGGGGGTTGCTCACTGTAGAAGGTGGAGAGTGCCATGGGCGGCTTGCTGCTGAAATCATAGTGTTCGTAATCAGAATCGGAGTCCTCAGCGTTGGGGATGGGCACGGCTGGCATCTCTGCAATGGGGACCAATGAGGCATTGGTTATCAGCTGATGCATAGGGACTGCCTTTCCTCAGGCTCCTGGAGCAGGGTGCCCAGCCTAGGGCCATGGCATCCCTCCATCCTGACCCTGACTAACATGGGCTACCTGCCCCCCCAGAATCCCCTGGGGTGAGAGAGCCACAGCTCCCTTGGGTAGGACTGGGCCTAGATTTATATGTGTGAAACATGGAAGCTGGGAACAAGATTGGTCGCCACAGTTACCTGGCAAATATGCCACAGGCTGTGGACCTCAATCTGGGTGCCTCTGGTATGACACAGGCAGTGAAGGAGGAAGAAGAGCTGAGAGGTGGGGACAAGAGGGATTGAGGGGCGGAGTAAGTAGAAGGATGGGATGTGGGGGAGGAGCAGTGGGGAGGGGTAGATGGGAAGGTTGGGTGTGGGGAGGGGAAAGGTGTGGGCAGGGGCATTGGGAAGGAAAGGTAGGGCACGAAGAGTGGCATTGCTACCTTGTACTCTGGAGACATTGGTGGGGATTTTCCTATAGTCATTGGAAGCCCCAGCAGGCATGTCCTGGCTCTGAGTGCTGTGGTTCATTAGGACTGGGCCCCCTCCCAGGGAAGAGGTCACGGCATGAGCTGTGGAGAGACAGGGAAGGTGTTCTCATTGGGACTGTCAGTGGTAGGCACAACCAAGGCAATACCCTCACCCCACCCTGACATGGGTGTGACATATCTCAGGTCTGCCTCATGGTTTCCATCCCTGGCCCTGAAGCCTCTGGGATCTGGCTCATCCCATCAGTCTGGATACCAACATTTCCCAAGCTGTTTCCCCAGACTTTAACAAAGTCCTAAAGGTATCCTGGGAACAATGAAAAACAACTTAAACTTGGGGTTGCTTCAAAAACACCCTAAGCCCTCCTGTCATCCCTGCCCAGGGAATGGTAAAAAAGGAGCAGCTGAACTGATTCCACTGGAGCAAAATCAGTTTGCTCAATGGCATATCTAGACCATTGTCTCCAATGAAGAGACACTGATTTACACCCATGGAGGCTGTTGTCCCATTCAACATTACCCCATAGCTTGGGGCTGCCAAGGGGCCCTGTTCAGATGATGACAAGCTCACTGGATCCGTACTATAGCCAAGGCAAAGCCCCAGCAGCATGAAACACAGCAAACACCACTGTGGCAAAGGGCCAAGATGTGATGTCCCCTTCTATGCACAGACTCCTCAAGCAAGACCCCACTCTAGCCCTGCCCCAGGCATCACAGCTACCGTGTTTCTTCCTCATCCTCAGGAGGGCAGCAGTGAAAGCCAGCATGGTGATGAGGAGGATTATCCCCAGGATGATAATGATGATGAGGAGGGTCCAGTGAGAAGGCAACTTGGCTTCCAAGTTCAGATATCCTGTTGTGGCTAGAAATGAATGGGGTTGGAAGCAGAGGGGAAGGGAGGATTATGGGTGTGAATAGAAGTGAAGATGGAAAGAGCAAGCAAAAGACAGGCAACAAGTACACAATGCATAGGGATGGCTGCTGGGGCCTGTCTAGGCCCCAAACCTGCCAGCCGCTGGGTGCCCTGTCTCAAATTGTTTTCAGTGGAGCTCTTAGTTTGAGGCAGGTCCCAAACCCTGGAGTCATGAGGTTCTGGCAATGGGCTAAGTCAGGGGTTGGCAACCCCCGGCACGCATGCTGAGCATGGCACGCGAGGCCATTTTGCTTGGCATGCCATGGCCAGCCCCGGCTCTGGGTAGCTGCTGGAGCCCAGTCTGCTCCCAGCAGGGTTTGCAGTGTCCCAGCTGCTTGCAGTGAGCAGCCCAGGCTCTAAGGCTGGCAGCAGCTACCCAGGGCCGGCTGCAGCCGGAAGGCTCCAAACAGCTGCGCCAGGCTCCAGAGCCCTGGCATCAACTCTCTACCGACGCATGCACCCGCGCGTTGGAGCAGGCAGCACAGCCCCAGTCTCTCCCCCGCTCAATCAGCTCTGTGCTGGTGGTGACTGCGCGTGCACCTTGGGGCAGACAGCAGGGCAGTGCAGCCCGCTCCAAGGTGCCCATGCAGTCACCGCCAACATGAAACTGATGCCAGAGCTGTGGAGCCTGGTGCAGCTGTTTGCAGCCTGCCCGCTGTTTACTGCAGCTGCTCAGAGCCCAGGCTGGCTAGAAACAGGTGTGCTGGGCTCCAGAGCCCAGTAATCAGCTCTGTGCTGGGAGCGGGAGAGAGACCGGGGCTGTGCTGCCTCAGGCCCATCCCACCGCTCACTCCGAGGTGCACATGCACGCGCCGGTACAGAGCTGATGCCTGGGCTCCGGAGCCAAGGGATGTGGCTGGGGGCAAGGGGCAGCAGGACTGGGGGCAGGGGCTTTCGGTGGAGGGGGGGGAAGGGGCACACACAGGGCATCCTGCCATGTACCCCCTGCCCTCATTTTGTTTTTCTGGCATGCCGGCACTCCGGCACCTTCCACGGTAGGCATTGTGGGGGTTTTTGGCACTCCAACCAAAAAATGTTGCCTACCCCTGGGCTAAGTCTAGTGCCTTGCCTCAATCTCTTTCTAATCTCAAGATGGGAAAAGTGGCTGTGGTGATGGGGCCAACTGTGTCCTGATAGCTCTTATCCTGCCAGCTGCCCTGTGCACAAGGGCCCTTGAAGTGAATGCCCAAGGCACGATTGTGCCTGCCACATGTAGAGAATCAGGCGGGAGTCAAGAGCAGCAATGGTGAGTCCCTGCTCTTAGGGGGAAAAGTGCTGATGGATGGAGCAGGGGGCACAGGCTGATGATCACCCCTAGCTTGCCCTCAGGCAGGCTCTCAGTGGGTTGCCCTGGGCAGAGGAAGTGATGCTGTTGGATCAAGCGAGCAGCTGGCACTCATCTGTGGCCAAGCCACTGTGAGAAGACCTGGTTGTGGGAAGGGAGGATGGACACTTACTTCCTGGGAGCCGGGGGCCACCTGGTATCATTGTTTCTGGCTGAAATGCGTCCGGCAAGCCCATGGAGCCTAAAAATCCACCACAGGAAGCAGGAAAAGCATTGGTTAGCTGGGCTGGGCAGAGAGAGGTGAGGAGAAAGGCTGACCCTTGAGTGAGATACTCAGGGCAGCCCTTCCTCATTGAGGTGAGGTAGGGATGGACAAAGCTCTGTATCTGCAAGGCCCCAGGGCTCCCCAGTTTCACACTGTCCACCCACACTGCCAATTCTGGGGGTGAAATCCAGGCCTCCAGGTGAAAGCAGTGTTACCATTGCAGATCACGCCGGCAGCTCGGGACTGGTGGCACACAGTCATTTTGTTGTAGTGCCAGATGCATTGGGCCAGAGAGGCCTCGTGCCCCAAGCACTGGTAGTTCATCTTGCCCTGCAGTGCGTGGTTGAAGTGCAGCTGTTTGGTTGGGGAGCCACACCCCAGCGACTGGCACAGCACAGACTGCTCCTCCAGGTACCAGGTCCCATCGCATACTGTGTTCCAGCTGCCTTTGTAGTAGACTTCTACCCGGCCAGCGCAATGGTCCTTGCCCCCCGACAGGCGCCACTGCTGATGCTCTGCGAGAGGAGAAGGGTCATTAGCAGAGAGGAAGCAGACAGGGAGATGCCCAGCCTGTGCCAGCATGGGTATAAAGTGGGTACCTGGGAAGTGGGTGGTCTCCAAGCCCTGAATCTGCTTGGAGACCAGAAGGATTTACCCCTCTCCATCATCTACTCTTATTGCCTGTCCCAACTACAGAGATGGACAGGACTGCTGCACCAGAAGGACAGATGGAAAGGAACACTCCTCCAGACAGAAGAACACCACATTGGAAAGACAGGCAGACAAAACCACTCCGCTGGTCAGACAGCTGTTCAAGAGAGCTCTAGCAGACAAACAGACAGATGGAGGGCTCCACTCAAAAGACTGACAGGCAAGAGAACCCTCCTTGCTGGAAACAAGGACAAAAGCAGTTCAGTGGACAGACAACCAGATGGAAAGCCAGACCTGAGCACACCACGCCTGCATCTTCCTTGTGGCCACAGTCGTGACTTCTCTCAGCGAGGCAGTCCCACAAGGAGGACTCATTCCCAACGCAGTGGACCTCATCCAGGTGGATGGGGCCTGTCCCCTTCTGGAAAGAGGAGTTCCCTGGAGCCCGGATGGACCAGCCACAGTTCAGCTGCTTGCACACAACATCAGCATCAACCATATCCCAGGCATCATCACACACGGTGCCCCAGACATCAGCCTCTGACACTTCCACGCGGCCTTCACAACGGCTGCCCCCGTCAGCCAGGCGCACGGCTCGGTGCCCTGCAAGAGATGAGCACAAGGGAAGTGACCAGCCCTCCCAGAGAGGAAACCTCAGGGAAGGGAGAGGGCTGGGGAAGGGCAGACACAGGCGGGGAGGGGGTAGGAGTGCTGGACAGATCTGCCCTCAACTACAGTTCCTGGTGCAATGTTTATAATGTGCTGAGCATCTTTGGTAACAGAAGTGAAGCGACCTATGGGAAACTCAGTGACAGAAGGTCCTGGTAGGTCCCTAGATGGGAGGAGGAGGAGGCAACACTCACTCAGAGGCATTGATTTGGCCAGTGCACAGAGGCAGAGGAGGACCAGTCATTGCCCTGCAGGAGGCAGGTTGCTGATAGGGATGGAGGAGCAGCAGAAACCTTCACTGTGCTGAGACCAGGGGGCAGAGATGGCTTCCCAAGAGGAGCAGTCAGCCCTGGCTCTGTGGGACGTGGCCTCCTACCTGTGCAGGTGATATGGGCCAGCTTTCCACTGCAGCATGTCCTCGAGACTGAGAGCTGCACGAGGCAGTGCTCCTCCTGGCTTCCCAGCTCCCCGCAGCTGATGTTTATGGCTGGGCAGCTCTGAAAAGTGTACAGGGGTTCTTTCTCTGCAGGTGCTGACTCCCACTTCGCCACACCACAGTTCAACTGTCTGCAGACTGCATGAGAAGCCTTCATGCTCCACGAATCCCCACACGCTGGCACCCACATCCCATGGTAATGGACCTCCACGGTGCCCTCGCAGGTGCTGTTATTATTCACCAGGCGGAAGGGTTCCTCCCTTGAAAGTTCTGTTGGGAAGCACATATTATTTCAGAGACCACCCAGGAGATGGGCCCTTAGGGCGCCCTGCATAGTTGCAGGGGTGCCAATATGGACCATGCCTGGAGCAGCCCCAGTGCAGCTGGTGCCCTCATGGACCACCCTTTGCCAGGCTTGTTTTGAAATTCTCTGCTCCAGCTAGTGGGGCAGAGGGTGGCTGTTCACAAAGCCAAGTGACTAACACAACACCCTTTGTGAGCATGGCAGGTGAAAAACACGCTGCTGCCTACACAGCTTCCTTCCTCTCTAATCAAAACATCATATAGATAAGTGCCAGGCACCCCTGGGTGGCCACAAAAAAAAACAGTAACCATGCTGTGGCAGCCTGCCTTGGCAGAGAGGAATCCCAGCAAGGGGGTGTACTGCAACAGTCTTGGTATGCCTGCCACCACTCAGTGCCTTACCTATGGCATCAGGGGCCGCTGTCCTACCACCCTTCCTCCTTTGGGCACTTCTATCATCCAGTAATGCTGGTAATACCCAGCCCATCCTTGCTCCATCTGCTCCTGGCTATTGTCCTCACTCCTCTGTGGCCAGCACTTGTGTGTCCAGATTTCCTCATGAGGAGCCAGAAGTTTCCAGATACAATGTGTGGCCAACATCCTGCATAAGGGAATCCCTTGGTATATGCCACCCCAGGCCCTGACTATGGGAGAGTAGCCCATTGCAAGGGCAAGGGGACTTTTCCCCAAAGCATCCTCACCTGGTTCTGCATGCATGTTCCCATCACTGCCATGTGTGATGTTCTCAGGGAAGGCAGAAGGCACCACCAACTCCAGCAGGCCTGGGACAAACACAGAGAGTCTTAGGCTGGAGTGAGATTTCCCACCTGGTGCCAGTACAGATCTCCTGATACTCACCAGGGAAGCACACTCAGGAAACCTCCTGCCCTGGACCAGTCTCTGGTGCTTAAAGGGCAGCTGAGCCAGCAGCTGTGTACACCGGATGTTGACCTGAACCCAAAGGTAGCTCTGCGACTTGCTAAGTTGGGCTGGAGTTCTTAGGAAAACAGATTTCCTGCCCCTGGCCAGTACATGACTTATAGTCACAGCAAGCGCTGAGGAATCTTTGGGGCATGAGGAATGCAAGAGTTATGAGAGCAGAAAAAATGCTTAGGTAGACAGACAGACATGTAGACAGATGCATATCTAGGGCCAAACTGGTGCAAGCAGGAACAAGTCTGCTGACTGACAACTGGAGTTGCAGCTGTACATGCTTGATGTGCATTTGGCCCCTGAACCTCAGTTCTTCTTCCAGCTCCATGTCGCTTCTGAAGCGCGTGCTATCAGGGTTTGCAGCCAATCACCCACTCACTGCACCTCCAGGAGCCACCATCTTACAGAGGTTCCGGTATGCTCACAAATGGTTGGCGGTTGCTTCTCCTTGGGTTACCTTTTATACTGATCTTTGCAAACTGTTTGCAAACCGAAGGCCAGATGCTCAGCTGATATAAACTGGCATGATTTTCTCAGCCCCGGCAGCACCAATTCATCCCCACTGAAGGCCCAGATGAGAGCAGGAAAGAGCTCCTTCGCTAACCAATTCACACCAGGAAGCTTACAGAAAGTGCTCACTTCTTTCTCCTTCAGGGGCAAAATCCCTTGGAATAGAAAAGGGGAGGGAGCAAGTAAGACAAATGGACTCTGATCTCATGGAAAAAATGTTAATTTGATGCCATTTTGGATAAGCCCCAATTAGCTGGAGGACTTGGAGGACTGCTGAAAGCCACCAGGAAAACATATGCTCTTGTCTACAGAGAACCCAGATGCCACAGTGCTGTGGCTCCCATGCTCTGCTGGAGCAGAGTAGAGCATCTGCTCGCAGCATCCTCATCTCAGACTCTGTAGTAGCACTAACTCTAAAGCTTTTCTCCTGCTACCATGGGCAAAGCAACTGGTCTGGGACTGCCCTGGAGTACAGTCCTGGGAGCCAGATTTGTCAGTGCTCATCTCTGGGTGTGTTTGATTGGGAGGCAGTGAGAAAGCTCCCAGCGCTCAGGTATGTCCCTGTGATGAATGAGAAGGTCAAAGGAGCCGAGTAGACAGGCCCGCTTTCACCAGGGACACAATGGAAACACCAGCCGATTCCTGAAAGCGCTCACCCGCTAAGCATCCACTGATGTGGCCTTTTGCTTAAGTGCTGCAGACAAACCTGTGCTGATGAAGCTGCCAGATCCTTGCTGCTGTGATGTGACAGTGATGCCCTGACCACAAGGCCCCAGGTGGTGTAAATCTATGTAGCACCATGGGCTTCAGCAAAGCAATGACAACTTACCCCACAGCAGAGGGTTTGGGCCCTCTCTTTGATTTGTGAATAGCCTGTTTTCCTTCACCATCCAGTACACCCAGCAACCTTACCATCCTTCCCAGTCTTCTCCAATCTCCTCTGATTTAGCCCCCAGTGCAATCGTACTACAAACAAGACTGTTAACACTAACAAGGGGTGGGAACCATCAGGAGTTGGGCCCTGACCAGTCTAGTGCCAGTTCCCATCAAATGAGTAGGGCTTCCACCACCAAGTAATTCTGCACAGTGTGAACATCCTCCCAGGGCTATGTATGTGCAGTCAATGGTGGTTCAGTGTACGGGTATGAGAATCTGGCCCTTTGCTGTGTGGTCACATACCTTCCCGTCACTCAGTTGCATCTTAATTTTGCCTGGTCAGTTGTCAGCCTCCAGGGGCAAGGATCACACCAGGCCTATAAACTGCTTTGTATACCCACAACGGCACTACGGCCTTTTTCCACGATTCTCTGCTTTAGTCCATTTTATTAAAAGAGAGCAGAAGATCACCTGCTCAATGATTTCATGTTCCGAGGGTTTTCTAGTCTGCGAAATGTTCCCTTGTATCTGCTTGTTTGCTGTCCCACCTCAGGCAGTACCTAATGCCAAATCCTAATGCCAAATGAAGAAATGTATCCCACACTGCATTAGTGCAAGACTATATGCCCTGGAGAGAGCTTCCCTCCTGACCCTGCTAGTGAATAGTGCATGCCCTGAAGAAGCCTTGCAGCAGACACTATTTTGATTCTCCTAAATGTTTATACCTTCTTCAAACTGGGTTTAGCCCTGACTTGTTGATACCTCTCTAGATATTGCAAAGGGACCTGAGAGTGGGTGAGGGTGAGAGACAGAGAGAGAGAAAGAGAAACAGGGGAAGTGGTGGGTGACCTCTGGGGTTGATGGGAAATAACCTGCTTTCTGGTGACTGGAAATCCCATCTATGCCTTCCTGCTAGAAATGCTAACTGAGAAGCTGAGCTCCTTGGAAAACAGAAATACAGCGATGTCTCTTCCTGTTTGACACTTACTGATGTTGATCTATGGGTTAGATTTACACTGCAAAAAAGTGTACATTTAAATTGGGATTGGTGGATCAGAGTTAGCTAATTGGGGTTACAATAACAAGGAGGCCAAGGTTATTTGGGTTTCAACTCAGCTTTGGCATTTCACGGGCAACCCCAGACTGGTCCCAAGGCTAGAATCCGAGCTACTAAACCCAGTTAAAACTGTCTCATCCTCCATGCTCTTTTATCCCAAGGCCAAAATGTTCCTCTGATCTAAATTGCATCTACCTTCCAGACTCTATTTCCTTCTCGGCTCGCTCTACTCCAGCCTTATCTCTCCTCCATCCAGTCTTAGAGTGAGAGCCATTTCCTCTGTACCCCCAACAGTGGCCTTATCACTTTCTGCCTTGTCAGCCCCCTTTTCCCTCATTGCATGAATGATGGCAGTTCCCAAAGTCTCAGAGAGGTTCATCAGCTTTCTGGAGGATGAAGGCAACTGAGGAGCCCATGCTGGGTAAGAACAGCAGAAAGGACAGTCTTGTGGTTAAGGCAATGGACTTCAAATCTTAGGTAGGTTTCTGCAGAATCCCTGGGTGATACTGGCAGGAGTCACTGAAAACATGAGGCATGCCACAGATGGGCAAATGGGGGTGAGGGTCTTTTGGGCTGTCTCTTACTATTGCTTCACAGCACTGAGCACACTATTGTTGCTATTGTAAGCACATTATTATTACTGTTGTTACTCAGCACTGAGCACACTGGGGACCTGGATTCTGCATCTCTGCTTGTGCATCTCTGATTTAGCTTGATTTAGTTCATCTATATGGTGCAAAGTGTGAGAAGTTTCGGTTGCCGATTTGATTCAGAGAAGATTAGGCCCGATTTGGAGGCTGAATCACTAAATCTGAATCGAATTGGGGGACCAAAAAACCCCTCCAAATCGATTCAGAAAAGATTCAGAAAAAGATTTGGAGATTTGGAAGGCAGTATTTCAGGGGAACAGAAACTGAGAAGAGGGAGGGGGAGCAGGGAGGGAAAGACTGACATCTGTAGCTGGCCAGTGACTGTAATCTTTCCCTGAGTCCCCTTCCAATCACAGTGCTCTGGGGGAGGGATGTAGAAACAGCACATAAGCCTCTGTCTGCAGCCTTTCTGTCCCTTCTGTGAGCTGTTTCTGCCTGAGCACTGGGGAGGCCCCCTGTTACAGGCTACCCTCCCTGCAGTTTTCACCCTGCTGCGCCTTAACACACACACAAAGTCACACATGTCATGAGTTTTGCTTGTCAGCACCTTGAGGTGCAGTTTCCCAGAAACCCCTGCATGTATCTCCTTGAAACTTGGCAGGGCTCATGCCCTCATAAGGGGCTACCACGCCTGCTGTTTTCATCCAAATCTGCCTTAACACACACACAGAACACAAGTTTTGCTTTCATCAGATTGAGGTGCAGTTTCCCAAAACCCTGTGTACCTATCTTCTTGAAACTTGGCAGGCTTCATGCTCTCAGAAGGGGCTAACATTTCTGCTGTTTTCATCCAAATCTGCCAAAAATGACAAAGGTAGAGGTATTTCAGTGATTCCCCATTATAGTGTATGGCCGAATCTCCGAATCTCTCTGAATCAGCACTGAATCTTCTGAAGATGCGCTGCCTGAGGCCCCTCCCCCACCAGCCACTCTGATGTGCGGGTGCACATGCTGGTATGGAGCTGATGCCGGGGCTCTGGAGCCTGGCACAGCTGTTTGGAGCCTCCCGGCTGCAGCCGGCCCTGGGTAGCTGCTGCCAGCCACAGAGCTCGGGCTGCTCCCAGCAGGCAGCTGGGACGCTGCAGGCTGTACTGGGAGCAGCCTGGGCTCTGGGACTGGCTGTGGTGTGCTGTGCAAATTGGCCTCACGTGCCATGCTCGGCACACGTGCTGAGGATTGCTGACCCCTGCCCTACACCTTGCCGCAGGTAAAAGCAGTGAAGATGAGAGCACTGCCACAGCAAGAAGAGGGAAGTAGCTGGTTAGTCGAGAAACTGGGAGGAAGACCAGGCTCCACAGTACAGAGGGAGGTAGCCCTCCTCTCCAAAAAATAGTCCAGGCCAATCTGACCTAGGGGAAGAATTCCTTCCTGCCCAGAGATCTGATGATAAATACAAACCTGAGCAGAAGAGCAAAGCCCTCTAGCCAGGAACCTCTAGGTTTATAAGTAGCAGCAGGAACATCAGTACTCTCTAGTTCAAAGCCCGTAGCCTTAGCTCTGGTCAATGTCTCAGTGCTTTAAAGGAAAGTGAAACCATCCCTCAGAAACTAGTAGCATTCATGAGGGTGAAAAATCCTTTCTAGCCTTTACAGGTAACCAACAAAAGCCTTGAAGCATGGTGTTTTCACACACCTATACAATGCAAGATGGTGGTACTACTAATACAATTATTAATAAGAATTCATTATGCACCTTCCTGCCCTAAGTTAGTGACTTTTCTGGCAGCAAGAGTTTGGAAATAGTTTGGTCTGAAATC